GGGGGGGGGGGGAGACCGGAAAAAGGGGCAGAAGGAGGTGTGGATATTGCAAGAGGGATGGTGTAATTTGATCAGAGGGCACAGCTGCATAAACAGGGGTATCAAGGAATTTTTGTATGCTTGATGGAATTGCCTTTGCATGAATGGCCCCTCTTTTCCCCCTGTAATGGGCCATTTTCCACATGTCTCAGTCAATATGAGCGTAATACTGGAGCTGCAACACTAGCTATGGGTAGCTTGAGTCTTTTTTCGAGCTGTGAAATTCTCCCTCTCTGGCTGTCTTTGCTAAAGACCTCATCCAAGTCCTGCTGCCTGACCTGTCAAAAGCAGCCCCATCCTCTCTAAAAAGCCCAAACAAAATAAACCAACAACCGCTGGCAGGGTCAGAGGGCAGCTGCTCTGGGTGCCTGGACTCTGGCGGGCCTTCTGATTGGTGGAAAGGGCAGTGAGTAAAAGGGAATCTTTTCAAAGTGAAATCTCCAGCTGATGGCTTAGAGCTCCACACCCCACAGTTTGTTTCTCTTGCTGCTGTCAGGAGTTTTGCCTGAGCCATTTGGAAGGATTAGAAAAAGAGGGGGAAGAAAAAACTCAACTGGGCAGATCGTGTGTTATGTAGGGTCTGAGTGATGGATCCAGGACCCCTCGGAGAGTGATAAACCTTTGACCTTGACAGCCCCCTGTGGTGACCTCTGACCTCTGGCTTTGTGCCACAGGCTCAGTGAGACAGGTGCAGGCAGGAGAGTGACCACACTCCCACTGTCCAGACAAAATCTCTCATCTGACCTACCTGTCCTGATCGTCTCGACTCTCAAAAGATGTAGAGAAAAAAAATCAACAAACAGGTACAACAGCTATTTGCAATGAAAGAATGCAAGTACTATATTGCTGTACTGTAGCAGTCTACATAACCCTAAAACCAATTCTACGCTATTTATTTCAATAGATAATAAATGAAACAGCTAAAAGGGAAACAGGAGAGACAGGAAGTAACTCCGGTACTTGTATGGAAGCTCTTAGTGAAAGCTGTGGTTTACAAATGGATTAACTTCCAATTTTTAAAAGGCACTTTATCAAATGATACACAATGTTATGTAAGAAATAAAAAATGTGAATATTATTAGAGTGGAGGTGAGTGGTAAGTGAAGGCTCCATGAGACGCTGCGCGGCCTCGTTTTCTACTCCGCAGCGGGCACTAGCTCCAAGGTCGCACCAGTCGGCGCCAGCCTTTCTGCAGATCCATTTCCTCTCCCTAGGCTCTTCCCTCATGTTGTTGGCCCAGTGATTCAGTGCCTTGCATTAAGAGCAATTCACCTGCCTCCGGCGTCCCAGCGGCACAGGTCCCCTGGGGAAACCAGGTGGAGCATAAAAAAGTTCCACATATGGTAAAGTCAAGCTGCTCTGAGGCTGCCGAGTATCTGCTGTGGGGATAGAGGCTCCTAAAAGGCCCAGCTGGTACTTGGAAAAGGGCTTCTGCATTACTACACCTCAGTGTCTGTTTGGGCTCCCTTTTGGAAAGTGTTGGCCGGCGCACATGACCAGCCATTTTAGATTTCTCCCTCTACCCTGCCTCATCCCTCGCTCCCGCCCGCCTTCCAACTGGTTCTGTATCCAATTGAACATTTGGTCCTCCACTGCTGGTTAATCAAATTCCTCCATCTGGCCCCCCTATCCCTGTGGAACACAAAAGGTGCAGCCTGAGCCCGGGTCCAAGTGCATATTGGGAGGGAGGAGGGGGATAGAGACAGGGACTGCCTACCTAACTTACACAGCCCAGTCAACTAGATCAGGTAGAGAGCACGAGACCAGGCTTGATCGTTTTGGGCAAACAGGAACAGCTTGGGACTAAGTATCAGAGCCCTGCTGTTCATATAGAGCTCAGGGACGGCAGTGGGTTCATATGACAGTAGGAGGGTTTTATGAGCTAATACCTCCACATACACTGTAGAATACAGAGTAGAGTGGAGCCTAAGTACTACTGGCTTCAACAGAAGGGAAGCACTGCCCTGACACTCTGATGTTATTTAATTTCAGAAGCAGTAGAGGGCACTGCTCATGGAAAACTCTATCCAGGAACAAAGAAGAAAGGGAGAAAAGGGGCAACAAGACATTTATGTTAAACTTGCAGATGTTGCTTCCTTGAGTGCAGATAACCAGTTTGTCAGTGTCTAAGCCCGTACTCTGATAAAAAAAAGCTATCTTAAGATATCACAGACAGCCAGCAGTGTTCTTTTTATCC